CCCCCCCCCCCCCCCCGATTATAAGCCCACCCAAAACCCCTTACGAACTTGTATAAGCCTAGGGCTTCTAAGCGGTAGTTTATGGTATACATATAAAAAGTTAGCACGTAAGTAAATTTTTTGCTCCCCTTTTCCTCGTCAATAAAGTCTTTTGTTTCTTATTCTCCAATACACCCTTTCTTTCAAAAGAAAAACAAGACGCATACGTTTATCTAAGATAACAAAATTTGCCTGACATAAAAAAACGAAACCTGCACTTTCCTGACAATTAACGAAATCATAGCCTTAAGATGCTTCAAGTAGCGAAAGCGATGGACACAAAAGACTTTATTAACACTCACAATATGTCATCTTGTTTACATTAATTAATTAATTATAAAGCAGAAATAAATAAACTAGATCAATGAATTACATCACAAATACATAAATAAACATTAATTTTGCAAGTGTGAACTCTTCTTGACTTAACTTTCTCTTTTCTTAAAACTTATCAGACTAACGTCGCAAATTTCAATACTCAACTTTTCATCCACAAATTCAATATTCACAAGTTCGTTTTCGATGAAATCTACTCCTTTCTAATGATAAAAGAACTCAATTTGAAGGTCTGTCCACAATAACTCTTGTGCAATACAGGATGGGGCTATTTTTCCTGCTAATACTCCTGATCCAACCTAAAAAAAAAACAACAATTGCGATAACCACCATCAACGGCATGAGTTCCTGTTTTATTTACGTTCCATCTGCGCATAGTCATGAAAAAGTAAAGAGACAGCGCTATTATCGCACTCCAGATCACCTTGGTAGAAATCCCAAACGAAATGACAATTAATACAGCAATGAGCACAATTACCAACAAATCGACGACCAAAACCAACACTGGGAAAGAAAACTTTTCCCATGACGGACAGTCAGTAGCCCACTTGTCTTCATTCGGTAATGCTTTTCCAGTAATATGTCAAAAACAAGTGGGAGTGTTTCATCAGCAGTTCCAGACACCGAAAAACAGATGAAAGCACCAGGCGCCGAGTACTTTTCTTGTTCTCTTTACTTTATTCCTCACATGTCCTCGATACTCTTTTGCATAGGGACAACTATGTTGAAGTCGATACTTTAGTTCACATCCAGCAGCCAAGCTCTAAAATAGATATAACATATTTTTAGAAAATACATTGAATTATTTTTAGCAAATCATTACACATTCTGCGGTATCTTATTTTAGACCTCTTCGTAAAATTGTTATTACAGCTAGGTTTTCTTCTATTTTCTTCATTCTCCTCAACACCTCCCGCTTGGATTACCTTAAGCTTACTACGGATTACGTGAAAATTTCCTTTTCACTTCAATTTAATTTCCTAAAAGACGACTTCTACACTCATCCTCTTTGGGGTACAAAATTATCCACCCCATAACCTCTAAACAAGACGTTGTAGAACCCTAAATTTGGGCGTCGATGTCCTACACCTGTATTAGGGATCTGTCAGAAGTGCAGCGGCGTTTTATATTTTACGAGTTCGTTGAGATCCATCAAGTTGAATACTTGCAGTTATATTAGACGTTCATTTGTAAAATAATGACTGTACTTTGTTAATTCTTGAAACTTGTTTCTCCTAGAATCTAATATGAGGTAACAAACAACAATAATTTTCAAAGGTAAAACTGATTTCAGGTCTTCCAGTGACGTCGTTGTGGAAGTCCTAATTTGGTTATGAAGGAATAGCGTGCTTAAAATCATTTGAAATCAACTCATCCTTGTCAAAAGTTTTATCATACCTGAAAACATCTTTGCACTTATTTTAACGTCCTTAGTCTATCCGTTTAGGATACCTTTTTGCTTATTTTTAATAATATTTGTACACAGAGCACATCAATAAAGCCACAATTTTATCTAATATACAAAAAGGGGCATAAAATTGTTAACGGACGAGGGGTCTGAAATTTTGTGTGTCTGATTGGAGGCTTTGAAAACTACGTAAGGTCAAAACCAGAGCATAAAAGTTCACAATAAAACCAACCGCCTGATTTCCTGAGCAGGGCTCACTAGCTTTGCACACATCCACGCACCCTAGTTCAACAAAACACGAATCAACTTCGTCATTGTACAACAACCCGCCCAACCCCGTTAGCTCCGATCCCACTACTGTTATGCCGGGATCATGGCTGGAAATTTTCCACTTAATCACGCTTGCAGGCGAATGTTCAACAAAGCCACAAACACCATCGCAGGTAACACGCTCTTCCTGTGCACTACTTTCCGGCTCAAGTGATGAGACCCTCACTAGCTCACTTCTATTGTCACGCAGTTTGCACGTGAAACCTTTACAATTTGCCCCCCCCAAAAAAATATCACTTGATAATCACGTTCTCATCACAAGTTTGTACGAGTACAAATTGATAACAAGCTTTTCTGGACAATCTTACCAGTTCAACTTGATAAACAACTTTTCATAACTAGTTTACCACATCCACTTTCTAACAAGATTCTCATAACATCTTGTCACTCACTTTTGTACACGAACATCTCTCTTTACATCCAAGAAGCAGTTCTACACTCATCCTCTTTCAAATAATAAAAATATCCACACCATATCCTCCTCTACATAAACAACGTTCATATAAACAAATATCACTTGATTATCACACACTCACCACAATTTGGTACGATTACAACTTAATAACACCTTTTCAGAACATTCTTACTACTTGAACTTGATAAACAAGTTTTCATAACAAGTCTACCAGATCAAGTTTAAAAACAGGTTCCAAGAGCAAGTTCTGACTCGTTTTGGTACACATACATCTCTGTTTACATCAAATAATGGTTTTTCATTGGCTATTCATCTTCACATTTTATTGGATAACCTATTTCGACAAAAAACCTTGCTCCCTGATTGGTGTATTTCGATCCGTTACTTTGGTATAAAAGGGCTCCCCATTGAACAACTGCACCATTCAGCAGTATTTTTATGCTGGGTACTATCATCAACTGCCTCTCAACATGAATCAACTCAGACTCAAGGGTTATATACACGATGTATCTGCGGCTAAGAAAAGCAGAGTAAAATCATTCCATACTTCGCATTCGCCCTCCAAGTAGACGAATCGTTGAAACGACGAGCAGTATGCTATGACATCTCAAAGCACAAAGTGCTAAAAACTTTTCAGCAATCAAGAGAACCTGTTGTATTCCACAACGTAACGCAGAAACAAAGTGTACGTGATCCATCGGAAGATGATATTATCGTCAACAAAAGATCCCGCGTCGACCCAGCAAACAACAACGATATTCAATTCGAATATGCTGAACCTGAAGCAGATCCCTCCAACCAGTTTACGACTGTGCAAGATATCATCCACTTAGAGGAAAACCAACTCACATGTGTCAAAGGCATTTTAACTCTACGCCCAGACAGCGTCAAACAGATCCCTATGAAGGATGGTTATTTGGTCTCTATGTTAGAACGTTGCACTGTTTCTGGCGATACCGTCAGCTGTCGCCTGACCTTGTGGGGAACAGCCATCCAAGAAGTCGCAAATCACAAATCTTATTCCATCACAGATGTGCGTGTAAAAATCTTCAACTCCACCAAGTATCTCACATCTACTACAGCAACAACCTTTACAATTGCTGAAGAATCCTATGAACCCCCAAGTGAAGAAGATTTCTCCAGACTTTTCGATGCCGTATCAAATTACGTTCCAAAAATCCTACTGCCTGATAGTTACAAGACTTGGCTCACGTGCGTGTAATGTGGAAAACAAGTCACTGAAGTTACAACAACCACCGCCAGTCTTATCAAATGTGCCATTTGCAGCACTGTGCAACCTCGCTCATGTCACCTGAAAGGATCCGTTCGCATACAAGTCCAACCGGACAACAATGCTGAACCTATCTGGCTAAAAGTGTTCACATCAACTCTTCAGACAATGCTGGAACACGTTTCTTCTGATGTGACATTGCAATCNCTCATGTCACCTGAAAGGATCCGTTCGCATACAAGTCCAACCGGACAACAATGCTGAACCTATCTGGCTAAAAGTGTTCACATCAACTCTTCAGACAATGCTGGAACACGTTTCTTCTGATGTGACATTGCAATCACCGGAAGAACAAGTCTTCGCTCAACTGTTCTTGCTTAAAAACTTTTTTGTTGATTTCAACGAACAATCATTAATTTTGGAGGACGTTCGTTTCAAATAAATGTAAGTACTTGTCAAACTATTTAAGCTATTCTCTCATAACTATTTCCTTGGAGAACTTAGCTTAACTTCGTTTTACAATACTATTACAACTACGTATTCAGCTTGAACGGGGACACTTGTCTTAAATTACTCTGAAGAACTTTAGTTTGCTTCCTTTTTTCGATAATACCTTTTTTCTCTTCCTTTTTTTATGACAATTGCTTCATCGTTTGCATAAATAAACCTGTCTAGTCAAAAATGTCACTACCTTTTAAGCATTTTTTTTCAAACCGATAGACAAAAATCTAGAGTACTTCACAGAGTAATAGACAAGCCCTTTACAATTATCACAGTAGTTCTCTTTCTCAAAAAAAAAAAAATGACTCAGGACAACAAAGTTCCTTCAACAACAAGAAATTCACAACATAAATAACTTCCGTACTTCAAACCATTTGGCTTTCAAAATCTACAATCTACTCAAAGTTACTAAACTGAGTCATTTTTATTTCCAAGATCCTTTGATTCTCTTTTTTCTCTAGTCAGGTCTGGTGAATTAATACATTTGCCCTGCTATACCTATGACCATAAGCTATACAACCTGTAATGGTCATACGTCGAGTGCTAGGCGACGGTTAATTAACCTAGCTAACCCATCTGTGCCAACGGCTTCGGGGTGGATGACCACTCTGGGGAGGGTAGTGGAACCCCTTGATGGAAGAAATACCATCAGAAAGCAGATGAGTGAACAATTTTACATTCTTCACCAACGGCACCCACACAACTACTATTTAAGCCCCAATTGTGGCTTTGGGTTCTTTTTAGTTCTTGTTGTTGTTTATCTTTATCGGGGAAAAAACAGATGGAACACTACATAGCACTCAAGATCAACACACCCCTACTAAATAATTAAGTAATTGACAACATTCAGCTGTAAACAAAAGGAGTTGCATTGCCTATCAATACTCATTACTCCTCATATTACATTTCATAATCAACAACCTGTTTACAATATTGTCATTGTTGTGACAATAAAAAATGACTAAGGAAACCAATGCTGATTACACATCAATCAAAGATGTAAAACCCCGTCTACATTTCTGGAAAATATAACTTTGCAAATGTTTAATTTCAATTTCCAATTAACTTTAAACAAACCCTTCTTTTCTTAGTCATTTTTATTTTCTGCCTATAATTACATTTTCTTCTAGAATCATAGTCATTGTGTTTTATAATCATACTCGTTTATCATCTGTTATGCAATAACTAAATCATTACTCAGTAAAACTAACTGAAAATACCTTGTTTTTGGAACATCTCTTTAGTATAGTTCAACTTTATTTTCATTCCTGAGAGACACTTTTGAGTTCACTTCTCATCAACATTGTTACAATCTGTCAACAAAAATAAACTACTTTTTACCATTATTGATTTGTTTGTTACTTTCAACTTCTCAAATTGAATAAAAGTTATTCAGTTTCCTTTAAGGAGTGAAATTATTCTTTGAACAAATGAAATACTCTAATCAAGTTGTGCTGAAACTGAACAAAGGACCCTTTCTCAACATTAGTACCACAACAACTCAAAATTACAAAACGTGGCCCCCTTCAAATCAGCCCACTTACCAGAAATCAATTTTGCATTGCCTTGATACACAGAAGGCCCAACCTCACTACACAAACGCTGACGTGGCTTTTGCTCGTGAATGCTATTGTGTTACAAACAGTTATTTACAAACACTTGTATGAGATGTAAACAGTTTT